GTTGTTGCAGGGGTTGACATGTAGAGAGAATGGAGCGAAACAATGAATTCAAGAGTGTATCAATCTGTAGTGGAAAGGAGGTGGGGTAGGGGTCGGCCTAGGAAAGGTTGGAGGGAGGGGGTAAAGGAGGTTTTGTGTGCGAGGGGCTTGGACTTCCAGCGGGCATGCGTGAGCATGTTTGATAGGAGTGAATGGAGACAAATGGTTTTTAATACTTGACGTGCTGTTGGAGTGTAAGCAAAGTAACATTTATGAAGGGATTCAGGAAAACCGGAGGCCGGACTTGAGTCCTGGAGATGGGAAGTACAGTGCCTGCACTCTGAAGGAGGGGTGTTAATGTTGCCATTTAAAAACTGTAGTGTAAAGCACCCTTCTGGCAAGACAGTGATGGAGTGAATGATGGTGAAAGTTTTTCTTTTTCGGGCCACCCTGCCTTGGTGGGAATCGGCCAGTGTGATAATAATAATCATTTGTGCTTTATTGTTATCTGTTTACAATAATGTTTTATCACTGATTACATCATTGCTAAGTTAATCTTAAGTTAATTTTAAGCCAGCCCGTAATGCTCTGCATACAAGTGGCTTTGGCATGCTGCTCTTACCTGTATTTTTTTGTACCTCTGTATGTATGCTCAAATTACTAAATAAAAAATAAATAAATAAATAAAAAAAAATATTTATAAAGTTCTACAGTTTTGTTAGAAAAACTATTAAATTTCTTGTAAGAGACTAGTTTAAAAAATTAATAGAAAATGGTGAATCGACTCCAACATGGCCACAGTTTGAATATGAAAATGGTATACAATATCAACAGGACAATTCAAACTTTTTGCCTACGCAGTAGGCTTCTTCAGTCGAATACAGAATAACAGAAGCAGTAGAGATTTGAAGACAATGCAATCGGTCCATCACCCTTGAAGACGTAGTTTTGAGGTCATCAGTCCCTCAGCCTGGAGAAGTTTTTTGCTCCATAGTCTGGAACAATGTTTCAACTTCAAATTGTTTGACTATGGAGCAAAACTCTTCTCCATGCTGAGAGACTGACCACTTCAAAACTGTCTTCAAGAATGATGGACTGATTACATCTCTACTGCTTTTGCTATTCTGTACTTGACTGAAGAAGCATATTGCGTAGACGAAAAGTTTTGTTATAAAGATACCTAACTGTTGCACAGGTGTCTTACTTATGGGCCCAATTTATTATAAAAATAAGTCTCAGTAAGATACATCTGTGCTTAGTGTTTGAAGCCAATCTGAAGAGGTATTCCCTAGTGTTTAAATGGAAACTAATTTATTTAATAAAACTGAAAAGTACCTAGCTTTTTGTAATAAGGCTCACCAACACAAAGTTTGAAGCCTATCACATAAAAAGACACTCCAGTAATTGCCCTGAATTCAGCATTTATATGTTTTTCTAATAATGCCAGAAAAAAAAAAGATTTGTACCTTTGCAGACAAGATTTATGTTAACTATCTATCTTACTGAATACATAAGCATTTTTTTTTTTTTTTTATTCGCCGGTATTCTCCCGGCCCGGGTCTTTTCCAAGTAGTGGTGACCCGGCCAACATAAGCATTAATATTAGGAAGCCTATTAGTAGAGGCATTGTTTAGTTATTGAATGGATATTAATATCACAGTTTAAATAAAATTTAGACCAAGGCAGCTTATTAATGAAGATCAATGTAGTTCAACAACATAAACTTTGCATTCAGCAAAACACACTGTTGGAAGGTAATCAAAAGAGATTTTCTCTAGTTATCACACATCCTGTTGGTAAGATACCTTAGCCACTGAAGACTGACCCCATTCAATTTCACTGGACGCCTTTGTCAAATTAGAACACTCCTTTTTAAAATGTTAATAGTCAAGCAGGAGAGGCTTTTGTTAGTTAATAGACAAATTCCAAGAACTTGAAATCGACTCTAACGCTGATCATACATATGCAAATGCTAATAGCTGCATGAACCTTTCCCATGTGCAGTAAACCAATGTTGAAAAGGTGAAGCCAATTGAATAAGACATTCTGAAGATATAGGTGAAAGTTTGGAGGAAAGGAAAAAATTAAAAAGACAAGAAAATAATCAGGCAACCACTTAAAAGTACATAAATCTCGGAATGGATTGAAGGTTGAACATGGCAAGTCCTAAAACTCACTTATACCTGATATACCTTTGAAGAGTTTTGAGAGTTTCTCTACTCTCTGAGCCTAACCATGGGCCAGGCTTATCTTGTGCTTGCCCGGTCAACTAGGCTGTTGCTACTGGAGGCCTGCTGCCCCACATATCCATTGCAGCCTGGCCCATCTGGCACCTGGTGAAGATACTTGTCCAGTTTCCTCTTGAAGGTTTCGACACTTGTAGCCGTGTTTCTGATATCTTCTGGTAAGATGTTGAATAGTCTGGGACCCCAGATGTTGATACAGTGTTCTTTTTTTGTCCCCACCGCACCCCTGCTCCTCACTGGGTTTATTTTACACTTCCTCCTATACCTCTCACTCCAGTATGTTATGGCAGTGTGCAGATTTGGGACCAGGCCCTCGAGTACTTTCCAGGTATATATTATCATGTATCTCTCCTCCGCTCCAGTAAGTGCATGTTCAAGACTTGAAGGCATGTTTTACTGGCTCAATGTGACTCATAAAGAATCTCTATTTGTTCCAGCTCTTATATTTCTCCTGCTTTGAATGAGGCTGTCAGCACTGAGCAATATTCTAAGCGAGGGAGCACCTGTGATTTGAAGATTGTCACCATCAGCATTATTTCCCTTGTTTTGAAAGTTCTCAATATCCACCCCATCATCTTCCTGGCTGTTGTGATCTTTGTCTTATGGTCTTTGAAAGAAAGGTCAGCTGACATAATTATTCCCAGGTCTTTTACGTGTTCCTTACGTTCTATTTGGTGACCCTCTTGAGTTTTGTATGTAGTGTTCCTTTTGAGTTCTCCATTTTTCCATACCTAAGCAGCTAGAACTTATCACCATTGAACATCATGTTCTCCACTGCCGACTGGAAAACCCTGCTTATGTCTTCCTGTAATTTTTCAGTGTCCTCTACTGTAGTGACCTTCATGCTTATTTTAGTGTCATCTGCAAATGATGATACAAAAGTATACCAAGTGTTTTTATCTATGTCTGCTATGAGGATGAGAAACAGCAGAGGTGCCAGGACAGTGCCTTGGGGCACTGAGCTTTTGACCTCGCAGATGCTGGATCTTGCCCTGTTCACTACTACTACTTGTGTTGCGTGTGTTAGGAACCCGAAAACCCATCTGCCTACCTTCCCAGTAATACTCATGGCCCTCATTTTGTGCGCTATCACTCCATGATTGCAGTTGTTAAATGCCTTTGCAAAAATCTGTGAAAATCACATCTGCATTTTAGCCATCTTCCAATGCCTCTATAATTCTGTCATAATGGTTCAGCAGCTGTGACAGGCATGACTGTCCTGCTGTAAAACCATGCTGGTTCAGGTTATGCTGGTTGTGCCATTCCATTTAATTTGTAATCTGCCGTGGGTTCAAATTCCACCCGTTCCCTGATTTGTTTGCAGCTGTGTTATTACAGTTTTGTGACTCATAAATGGACACCTTCAAAGATACCTAAAAATATTTTGGTGGAGAGGGAATCTACAGCTGACTAGACTTTTGTATTCAACAGTTGGCCTGCCCAGCTCTGTGCTACAGCAGGTGAATGTGACGGTGTTCAAGTCTGAAGAATGTGACAAGAGCTATAGCACTCTTCTGGAGTACTCTGACACCTGGCCTCTGGGCATTGGGGAGGAGACAGTGTGTGCAGGAGACCGTAATGGAGGCAGAGATTCCTGTCAGGTAATAACATCCACGTATATGCGGTGATCCTTTGCTTGTTATGTGGGGGTAAAAAATATACACCTACCATCCGACTTACGACCGAGTTCGGTTCCAAGAAACCGGTCGTAAGTCGAACTTTACTACTGAACATCAACAAAACATTTTTGTAATGACTTTATTTTATTGTTTTATTTTGGTATTTCATGTTTTACTTTACTTTTTATGTTGTTAGTACTGTATTTTATACTGCAAGGTTTAGGATAAACACTGTGTACAACACAAATAGTTGTTTATTTCCCAGAAATTTGGCATAAAAAACACGGTCGTAAGTCAAGTGGTCATAAGTCGAGCAGGTCGTAAGTCGGATGGTAGGTGTATCTCAAGTAGACATGTCAGCGATGCCATTCCTGGGAATTTTTCCCAAGGTCTTGGAATTTTTTCCCAAGGTCTTGGAATTTGGGGATCCACCTTGGGTTCTCGAGTGTAAGATGTAAAAACTCAGGCCATTTGGGACTTCTACTGCATTCTTGTAAATTATTTTTTTTTCAATCTCTACTGCATATTTAAGAGAAAATGGCAAATATTTTTAGCACAGTAAATGACACACATTGTACAGCAACTAGCTGCCTTCAGTACACGTCAGTTGTCACTCCATAGTCCCCCCCCCCCAAGTCCATGACTTCTGCTCAAAGGTAAAAATAACAGTTACATTTCTAGATGCTGCAGAAGTTAACAGTGCTACTGTTACAGGATTGTACAAAGCAGGGAAAGAGGTATTTACAACCAGAGAAATTCTCACTGGCAACTGGATTCATTAGTGACAATTGCTCTACAATGGTGGGAATAAATAGTGATTTACACGCATTTCTCAAGATGGATTTTCCAAATGTGTTTGTCCTAGGCTGTATATACCACTTGTTTGCTTTGTGCTCCAGACATGCCAGCAACCATCTACATTCATGACTGGAATCATTTCTGAAAGACTTGTGCTGTTATTTTTTGCATAGTGGCAAACAGCATCATGAGCTCCAGTTTATCCAGGAAATGTCACAGACCCCATGTCACAAAATGGTCAAGCTGTCACAAACTAGTGGCTCTTTAGAGGTAAACAAATATCAGGAATATTGAAGCAGTGTATGGTCTTCCTATAGTAAATCATCTCTTTCTTTCGAGCGAGTTTAAATGTCATTTCTAGTACAGTGGACCCTCAACCAACGGTGGCATTGACTAACGCCAAAATCGACTAACGGTGCACTTTGGCATAAAAATATTGGCTCTACAAAGGCGAAAAACTCATCTAAAGGCTTTCATCCCAAACGTCTCCATGCGGCCTGAGCGGACCCAGCCGCTCCAAGACTCCATACACAGCCAGTGTGGCATTGTTTACAAGCCGTTGTGGTCGATCCCACGTGTACCTGTGATATATTTTGCATTATTCCATTGTTTTTAGTGCTTGTAACTGCTAAATAACCTAGGTAGTAGGTTGGTAAACAGCAACCGCCCAGGGAGGTACTACCGTCCTGTCAAGTGAGTGTAAAATGAAAGCCTGTAATTGTTTTACATGATGGTAGGATTGCTGGTGTCTTTTGTCTGTCTCATAAACATGCAAGATTTCAGGTATGTCTTGCTGCTTCTACTTGCGCTTGGGTCACACTACACATACATGTACAAGCATATATATAAACACCCCTCTGGGTATTCTTCTATTTTCTTTCTAGTTCTTGTTCTTGTTTATTTCCTCTTATCTCCATGGGGAAGTGGAACAGAATTCTTCCTCCGTAAGCCATGCGTATTGTAAGAGGCGACTAAAATGCCAGGAGCAAGGGGCTAGCAACCCCTTCTCCCGTATAAATTACTAAATTTAAGAGAAACTTTCGTTTTTCTTTTTGGGCCACCCTGCCTTGGTGGGATACGGTCGGTGTGCTGAAAGAAAGAAAGAACTGCTAAATAAGCCCATGGGCCCCAAGAAAGATTCTAGTGCCAACCCTGTGATAAAAAGGGTGAGAATTACAATGGAATTGAAGAAAGAGATGATTGAAAAATATGAACATCTTAGTGTGTGAGAAATCCCTGATGCACTCTTGCTAATGATTAACTCGCTTAAAAAAAATCAGCATATCACTCTTACCTACTAATGCTAATGCATGTTTTCACCCCCAGGGCGACTCTGGTGGGCCTATCGTATACAGTAACTCAACCAGACGCTACATCTTGGCCGGCATAGTGTCACGCGGGTATGGCTGTGGTCTTCTGGATTACCCTGGTCTCTATGTCAACATTCGTCATCCATTATACCTCGCTTGGATCAAGAATGTTGCCTTCTAGAGACAGCAGCCCTCATTTGAAGATGAAGAAACTATTCACCCGGAGCTTTTTCTTTAGACAATGCTGAAATAAACAGCAATAGCAAATAAGCATTAAATTAATGCCTATCTTTATAAAAATATTATATATTTTGTTTATACACCTACCATCCGACTTACGACCACTCGACTTACGACCGTGTTTTTTATGCCAAATTTCTGGGAAATAAACAACTATTTGTGTTGTACACTGTTATATCTTGGAAATTGGTCATCCTGTGTTACTTAACTATTGTAAGAGAATATGATCATCACTTAACCCTTTGACTGTCGCAACCCCCAATCCTGAGGTGTCTCCTGGTGTCGCAAAATTTAAAAAAAAAAAAAAATTATTTTTTCTTATGAAATGATAGAGAATCTTTTCCCGATTGTAATGACACCAAAAAAAACGAAATTTGATGGAAAACTGACGGAATTATACTCTCGCGACGTTAGCGACCTCGGCGCTGTTTACAAATCGGCGATTTCGCCCACTTTGAGCCCTATTTTTGGCTAATTCCATTGTTCTAGTCGCCCAAACTCATAGCTATTTCTTTAGAACTTGATTTTTTCTATCGATTGAGTACAAGAAACTGCCCATTTACTGATTTCAACTACCTAATAATGTGGTCAGAAATTTGCAATTTGGCCAATTTCACGAAAACTAAAAAATATGACAATTTCAAAATAAGGTCCAGAATGAACAATGCAGACATTCCAGGCTCTAAAATAACGTTTTCTTTGTTCATCAGTCACGTCTCCAGGACCCTCTGATATTACTCTTGCTTTCTATTTTGAATTTTTATTCAAACAAAAAATATTAGACTTACTATTATGCAGACTACTGCAATGCTGTAATAACTGTATAAATAACATCAACCCATTCATGACTGCATATTAGAATGGCTAGTTGGACATTTATTGGACAATGGCATCATTTGTTTACTTCTGAACATTGGCAAAAATCAAACATTTCCCCTACTTTGAGCTCCATTTCTAGGTTCTTTTTATAGTAAAATCAATCAAAAACATCTCTATTTCTGTAATATGTTTTACACTCTATCAAATGAGACCAACAAAACGAGAATACAACCATAAATACTATACGAAAATAGACCACAAAGTCGGCATTTTAATTAAAAAAAACGGTCGGAATTTTTTTTTTCTCATTATGCACTGCGTGCTCCAGGATTTTTTTTATATGGTGCACACTGACCCACAGACCCTTCTCTCACATGTGGCCTACCAGCTTTCTCCTGCTTATTTAAGCCGCTAGAATTTGATTTATATATACAAAACACGGCACCTCGTAAAACATATATATATGGCCGCGACAGTCAAAGGGTTAATATTATAGCACGAAAGTCCCCATTTATAGCTAAAATAGAGACTTTGCATTATTTATTAACTTTTTTAAAAATACCAGGGAAATTAATCTAAATTTTATTATTATTATGGGTGGGATTTTTTAGTATATACAGCTTTACGAGTCTCGAACCATCTGGAAATTGTTATGTCCGGCTGACTGATGTTTGGGTCAGGGACCAAACCTGATGACAGGCAACAGACTGCAGTATCAGTCCGCTCCCTGTTCAAAGCCTTGACAACGATCGAATATGGTTCTCTCTTAGGGTACATTTAAAAATGGTTTGAAATTAGTCTCTAGAGCTGACTCAGTTTGTTTCCAAAATTGCTCTGAAAGATTTTTTGATTTTTATTCTTGGTCGGGTTTTCCATAAATATCTCTCAGACAACCTTCCTTTCTATTTCCCAAAAAACAAAAAAACAAAAAAAAATTGAAAAAAAAAACGGCCGTTTCAAAGGTCTTTGAATCTGTACATTTGTAGTTTGAGTTACATACTTGTAAGACAAAAGACGTAAATGTTAGTGAAGACTTAAATTACAGGAAAAAAATTTAATCTTCCTTATTAATGTGATACAACATGATTTTGAACTAAATATGTATATTGAAAATTACAAAGTATTAAAGATATATATTGGGAACAGGAAAAGATAAAGTATTGTATTTAAATACTTCATAAATTTGAATATTATTCTAGGAGTTTCCAGTTTTTTTTCCCCCTTACCATTTAAATACCTTTAACTAACTCGGACCAAATCTTTTGCATAAGAAAAAAATATAACAACACTTCTGAAGTTCTTCATAAAATTTCTATTCGCAAAACCATGTTTATCCTAAACCTTACAGTAAAAATACAATACTAACAACATAAAAAGTAAAGTAAAACATGAAATACAAAAAAACAATAAAATAAATCTTCACAAAAATGTTTTTGATATTCATAGTAAAGTTCGACTTACGACTGGTTTCTCAAACCGAACTCGTCATAAGTCGATGGTGTGTCATTACTAAATGTAAAAGGAGGAACTTTCGTTTTTTTCCTTTTGGGCCACCTGCCTCGGGGATACAGCCGGGGTTTTGAAAGAAAGATTACATATTTTTTTTAATTTATCATTTGAACTTTTTTCCAAAAAGTACTTGAAAACTGCTAAGTAGAGGTTAATTAAAATTACACAACACAAAAGCAGAAAATTACCAGTTAGATATTTCAAATGCTAGAAACCCCAAATTTCATCTTTAGGAGTCCTTGCAATACAGAAATGATACCAAAAGGAGTGAAGTAATTAACTTATTTCCCCAAACAAATTATTTTTAAATGATTTTTTTTTTCAACAAGTCGGCCTTTCCCACGAGGCAGGTGACCATAAAAAAAGAAAATCCCCAAAAAGAAAATACTTTCATCTTTCAACACTTCACCTCCTCAACCCCAATCATGTTTTTGCAGAGGTGCTCAGAATCCCAATAGTTTAGAAGAATATACAATAAAAAACACAACTATCCCTCCAAACTGCCAATATCCCAACCCCTCCTTAGAGTGCAGCATGTATTTCCTATTTCCAGGCCTCAAGTCTGGCTATATAAAAATAACCATTCTCTGAACCTTAACTAAATAATAACCGCTCACACTCCAACAGCTGCAGCCCCATATACCATTCATCTCCATTCACACCCTAATCTAACACGCTCATGAAAAACGCTGCTGGAAGTCAAGCCCCTCGCCACAAAACCTCCTTTTTCCCCTACTTATTTATTATATTAAAAAAGAGCGCAAAGCCACAAGGACTATACAGCGCTGCGGGGCAGGAAGGAAGCGAGGCATCAGTGGCAAAAGGAGATGGATGAGAAATGGGTTTACAGATAACAGCGGGTATGGATGTGAAAGGGTAAAGGGCAGCAAGAGACGAACTAGAAAGGGCTGGGGGAGTGCGAAAAGTACATCAATTTTGTGGATAAATCATCGTTCAAGAGTCAATGAGAGAGCCAGGATTAAGGGGTCCATCACAAGAAGAGAAGTAAAGAGAGCGATTTGAACGAAGACGACGTGGGGGTAAATTCTGCGTGCTCGTTGATAGAGGGCAGTCTAACAGAATGTGGCTAATTGATACTGGAACTTGACACTGCTCACAGAGGAACAGGGTGCCTCTCCATGAGAAACCCATGTGTGGCCAATGCGAGTGGTCTCCCAACCTCGGCACTGATGACAAGAAGACGCCATAACCTATGCTGGGTTTTAATAGAATGAAGTTTTTACCGAGCAAGTTGACCAACGTTGTTACCAATGGGTGCAAAGGTGGGTAGCTATTGCAGCAAAATAGTCCAGAAATGGAACACCTCTATAGGAAATTGGTAGGTCATGTACTGCTGACCGCGCAGCAGTGTCTGCCTGTTCATTGCCCTGTACGTTGACATGACCAGGGACCCAACAAAAAACAATATCTTTATGATTGGTAGAGATACGTCATAGCCAAAGTTGGATACGGAGAACTAGGGGATGAATGAAATAAAATTTTTTCGTATAGCCTGCAGAGCACTAAGGGAGTCTGAGACTACTACAAAAGAGACAGAGGCATAGATGCATACAAATAAGTGCTGCAAGAATGGCATACAGTTCAGCAGTAAAAAATGCTAGCTGAAGATAGTAAAGGGCCCCCGCACGACGCTGTCCGAAACACTGCTGCTAATCCGACGCCGTCTGAAGATTTAGACCCAAATCTGTGTACACAGCGATGGCATTAAAAATGGGAGTGGAAGTGATCAAGAAAAAGAGAGCGGAAACCCACCGTAGGCATTTGAGCTTTCGAGAAAGGGGAGTGAAAAAGAACAGACCCTAACAGCTGGAACTTCCCAGGGGGCTAGGGAAAAGTGAGATGCTACATGAACATATAAAAGGTGTAACTAAAGGGGAAGACAAAGTAAATGAGGCGAAGAAAAAAGGGGACGGAGCAAATAGGGGCGGCGAATAATTTAATGTCTACTAATATCGGTGACCATTCTATAAATAAAGGATTGTGTAGATTGTGAGAGCGTACATAGTAGCGAAGGCAATGGGCATCACGGCGATCAGACAAGGAGGGAACATTCGCTTCTGCATAGAGGCTCTCAACAGGGAAGAGCGAAAAGCACCAAGGCACAAACGTAATCCTTGGTGATGGATAGATTTTAAGGCTAGAGAGAGTAGCAGGAAGGCCGGGGAAATAAATCTGGTCACCATAATCGTGTTTCGATAAAACGAGGGCTGAATGTAGCGAAGCAGAGTTCGACAATCAGCTCCCCGGGAAAGATGAGCAAGGGTTTTTAAGGGGGTTTTAGCGGCTGTGACAAGTTCCCTTTCAGAGAGGTAATGTGAGGTTTCCAGGATAACCTACGGTCAAAGAGAAGGCCTAGAAACCTGACTGATCACGTTCGGGATACGGGCCAAGAGATACAAAGGATGATTGGAGATAAACAGAGCGTCTAGTGAAAGTAATTTGGTGAGTTTTGGTACTTGAAAAATTTAAACCCATGCGTGGTGGCCCAAGTGAAACACGGTGACTGCATGCTGGAGAGAAATTTGCAATAAAAATGACAGTCAGCGCCTGCACAAGCAATAGCGAAGTCATCAACATAGAGTGATGACCAAATATGGGTGGCAGAACAGATGCCAAATCATTTATAGCAAGGAGAAAAAGTGTTGTGTTTAGAACACATCCTTGAGGAAAACCTTTCAGCTTGGACGAAGTACGGGAAAGAACATTATTGACTCAGACACGAAGTGTCTGTCAGTTAAAAAGTTCTTAAGGAAGTATGGTAATTGCCTCGGAGGCCTAAGGAATGGGCCTGGCCAAAATATTATACCTGCAATTTGTGTCATAGCCTTCCCCAAGGTCAAAAATATGGCAATAACCGAGTGATTATTCGCAAAGGCATTACAAACATACGTATCCAAGCGTAGTAAGGGGTCTAGGGGAGAACGACCCTTACGAAAGCCATATTGACTAGCGGAGAGACTGTTGTGTGTCTCTAAATACCACATTAAACGTCGATTTACGAGACGTTCCATCACTTTTGCAAACTGCACTAGTAAGAGCTGGGACGATAGTGGAGGCATCATGTCCTGTAGTACCCGGTTTTGCGGAAAGGGAGAACAATGGCAGATTTCCACAGCTGGGGAAGAACTCCTTGTGCCCAAAAAAAGTTAAAAGGGTGTAAGAGGACTACAAGGGCTGACTGATGTAAATGTTGTAACATACGAATATGAATGTCGTCAGGCCCACTGCCGATGATGGGCAAGCTGAGAGTATTGCCTCTATTTTCTTGAAGTGTAAAAGGCCCATTATACTGTTCTTCTCTGAGACAAGAAAAGTCCAAGGGGTACTAACTCTCGGGCAGACTTGAGGAAAGAAACGGGGGGTATAGATGGAGCCCTCGGGAAATACGGACCAGATGTTGCAAGTTCAATGGCAACGTCGAGAGGGTTTGCTACATCAACACCAGCGACCCGTAAACAGGACCCCGGGTCCAGGAAATATTTACCACTCAATTTCCTCACTTTTTTCCAGACTGCACCCATAGAAGAAGCAGAGGTGATGGGGAACATAGCCCAAACCAACAAGTGCTTTAGCTTCACGATGACAGGGCGAGCGATCGCACGCTTCTGCTTAAAATCAAGAAGTCCTCAGCGGTTCTATTGTACCGGTACCTGCCCCATGCAGAGCATTTCAAACGTACTGCATGAGCACAAGCGGGAAACCCCCAAAGGGCACGCACTTCTGAGAATGCCTGCCTGAGGTTTGGGGT